TCTGTGTGAAGAACACATTCCTCTTGAGACGCAGTCAGCTCTTGCTGGAGGCTTTCGGATTTGTATTGCGTTTGTCTCTGCTCTTGCCTGAGTTCCACTTTTGCTTTGAGCGCTTCGACAACCTTTGCTTCCATTTTCTTGCTATGTGCATGCAAAGTGTCCTGCTTTGCCTGTAAGCGGGCAGTTTCTTCTTCAGCATGATTGACCGCTGCTTGCAGTGCATTTTGCTCGTCCGCAATTCTTTTCTCCTTCCGCTGCCATTGCGTCTGGATTGATCGGGTTTCTTCCTCTGCTGCTGACTTTTCTTCTGTCATGCGCAGCAGTGCTTGCTCTAATTCAACTTTCATCTCCCAAAAATCGCGCGTAGACTCGCTAAGCTGTTTTTCCAACAATGCCGAGGCACCTTCTTGAGCTGCAGAAGCTTCATACTCAAAGTAAACTCTAGAGAACGAGTCCTTCCATTCTTCGTGCTCGGTTTGAGAAACAACCACCGCTTCTTGCATTTTCAGGACCTTGGCTTCCAACTGACCCTCACGTGCCTTGGCACTTTCACTGACTTTTTGAACCTCTTCCATCTCCAGGCGCAGCTTGCTTGCCTCTGCTTGTGCTCGCTGCACTGCACTTTGCTCGTCTTGTTGCTGAGACAGCACTGCCTTCAGCTCTTGCCGCACCAATTCTGCCTCTTGCTGTAGTTCTGTCTGAGTAGTCTGACGTGCAATCTTTGCCTTCCTGGCTTCTTCTTCAGCATCAGTGGCAGCCTTCGCAGCTTCTTCTCGCTCATCCTGCCTTCGTCTCAATTCCTTCTCCTTCTGCTCCAATCGTGCCTGCAATGATTTGGCCACTTCCTCTGCTGATCTCTTTTCCTCAACAGCCTCCTGCACTTCTTCCTTCAACTCTGCTTCCCGACTTTGCATCTCATCAGCTCCTTTTCTAGACTCCTCGAGCCCTCTCAAATCTGCCTCCTCAGTGTCAGAACCAACCATTTGCTGCCAGAACACACATTGCTCCTGAGCTGCGGCCAGCTCCTGCCTCAGCTCTTGCTGCATCATTTCGGCCCTGTGCTCTAGTCCGTCACTCTCACTGCGATGCCTGTTCAGCTCCTTTTGCATTTGTTCGGCTTTATACTCGGCTTCTCTCTCCTCAAACTGAAGCGCTAACTCTGCATGCGCCACCTCCAATGCTTCTGCCTCTGAACGCAGCTTGATCTGATTATATTCATTGTAACCTTGCAGGTCAGAATCTCTTTTTAGAAGCTCATTCGCGAGGACCCGAGTGGCCCTTCGAACTGTATGAAGTTGTTGCTTTAAACCTTCATCAGCCTCAACCTGGAGCTGCTACGATCACCAAAAAGAACAGCTTGTCACTTAGATTCGGCAGAATAGTTTCAGGAGGCGGTACTCTCTCTCTCTCTCTGCATATTTGTTGGAAAGAAGCAATCAAGCCAAACTACCAATTCAAAGTGAGCGCTGAACTATTGCCGCAGTTTTGGTCCCTTGAAACTGCGCACAACACTGGGTTGAAAAATGTCTGAGTGAGGGCGCAGGCTTTCCACTGCCTACATTTCTGCTTATAAACAAACATGTCCCAACATGCAGGTGATGATGTTTCCGACCTCAAAATGGAAGCAGCACAAAAAACAGTAAATGGACCGTGCACAAGGATTACTGAAGGCCATTAAAATGGCCACATACGGTGTCTGGGTTCTCCTATGCTGGACAACTAGCCTTTTGCAAGATTGGAAGCTCAGCCGGCTCAGCTCAAAACCCTTTCCAACAGCTAAATTGTGAGGACTGAGTTGCCTTTCCAACTTCTTGAAGCTTCTTCCGTCTCTTCTCAACCTGAAGCATCCGTCGATCCCATTTAAGAAGCTTGAAACAAAAATCCTTGGCAGTTAGCTGCTTGCCAAAAGGTTCATGAGGCTTACAACGAGCCGTGTTTGCAACATCTCACATCAGCTATTTCTCTCTCTCTCTCTCTCTCTCTGTGCATGGTGATCATTGGAAAAAGCAAGGAAGAACCAAACTGTATATCTGAGTGCTTGTCGCTGCGTAGCACTTCGTTTTGCTTCAATACCTGCGCTCAAAACGGGGTTCACATGTGATGTTTTGAGTTGAGCAAACTCTGAATCAGGGGCCAAACTCATTCCAGGGTTCCCTACCTTTTGCTTTAAAGCCTTGGAAAACATTGGGGCACATGCTTTTGCCACACAAGGATGATTGAAAACCGTTGCAATATGGTCACATGTTATCTACTAGGTGCGGGACTGCTGGCTCGTGGCGAAATGTTGTCCCCGCAAAAGTTGGTACGGCTTGAAGGTGTCCCAGTTTCGCTAAGAGTGGATAGCATGGATTCAACAAGAACCATTCTCTGAAACAAACCTACACAACATCGTCCGCAGCCTTCTTCGTCGCTTCCTTAAATCGTCCTGAGGGTTCGAGCACATGCGGGTCAGCTGCCACTCTCCACAGGGCAAATGGACCAAGTCCAGGGTCTGCTGGCTTTGCATTAGATAATCAGCAGCCAGTTGATTGATGATAGTGTTGATCTGATTTCACTTCATTGTGCAATAACTTTGGTGGTAAACTATCGTTGCAGCAGCAACCTTGGCAGAGTGACGCAGCAACAACAATCTGGATTGTGATTTGAATTGACGCTGTTCTTTAAAGCTCACCAGCCTCACCCAAAACGCCCAAGTGCTCCGTGGTTCAGCTGGTGCTCTTGGTTTCTTTGTGGTGGGAGTGGGACCGGGATAAGTCGGATAAGTCAGATAAGGGACAGGACGGACCACGAAAACAGCCTTTCACCACACTCCAACCCGACCTTGCAGACCTCGCAAAGTAAGCTTGACTGCAAACACTCAAGCTTGAAGCGGTCGCTTCAAGAGATCCTTTCTTGGAAAAAGCTGTTGAAAAAATAGCCATGGTCTTCAAAAGGCTCTTCCTAGGAGGAGCTGTGGAGTGGGAGGGTCTTCTGTGGTCGTCTAGGTCCTGCCGCTTTCTTTCGCATCGTGTCGGGGCGAGCAAAAAGGCCATGGTCCCGTTCGCACCTGACACCAGCCAAGAAGTCACCAAAAGCAAAGAGGCACATCCCACCGGAATGTGGATCTCTTCAAAAGAAATAAAGGAAACACGACGTAACCTTCTGGTAGCAGGTGGCCGAAACCGCATCAACCTCCAACGGCCCTAACGTGTCCACAGGCCTATGTAAAGAGTGGTGCCCTTTGACACCAGGAAATTGCAAGGGTTACCATGCTGCCCAGAACTGACACCTACTTCACCTAATTTAACCCGATTCAGCGACAATCGTGCCAGCCATAGTGTTGGATTGGGCATCGAATTGAGTCAACCAAGGCTGGAATTGAATTTTGGTGGATGTCAATATTTCAAAGTCAGGACCATTATGCTGTAATCGTGTGCGGCATGCTCCAAGCCACACAAATCCCACAAACATAATGCTGAAGGTATAAACCCTTAGCATTCTTCGGTTCTGTGCTCTACACTGACTTTACATGCCGAAGCAATCACAGCCCTCAATTGTTCCGGATGCGCTCTGAGTGTTCCGACTCAAAGTAGAACTTGCCGTCAACTGTCCCGTCATTCTTGCCGATGGGTTCATCCAACCTGTCATGTCGGTGCTCTGACATCCCAGCTGGGTTTGCTCCTAATAGCGATGCCCTTGCTCTCCTAGTAGCTTCTTGTTCCTAGTAATCTAGTAGTAAGGCCAGGAGCCCCTAGTAGCGTCCTTGCTCCTGTCAAGCGCCAAGATCCGTTGGATGATTCCCACACGTCCTGACTCTGCCTGAAACTTAAGGCAACACAGGTTCGCCGCTTCTCACACGTCCAACGGCAGGCCTGATCCCGGCCCAGTTCCCGTGGGCAAAATCGGTGGTGCCCAGGAAGCGCACGACCCCCGAGGCAAGCTTCCCACTCACCGCCTCAAGCTGATCCCCCAAAAGTGGCAATGCTTTGTGTTCCCAAAACAGCCGAAGAAGATTGCGATGCTGTTTGATTCACTCTAAGTCGCTAGGTAGATTGGCCGAGCTCCAAAACAGTAGAAAGGAATCTTGATCATCGTTTTTGCATCTCGCATGAATGTCCAGAATGGGGCTGGTCAAGCGGCAAACATTAAGCCAACAGTTCTTACTTTGGCCAAACAACACTTGAACGGCCCATTTCCTTTGCCTTGAAATCGTCACCTGGCGCTTATCAAGTTGAAACCATAAAAACTGAGTTCCACACGAGCTCAACTTTATCTCCCACTGTCAAATCGAGTTTTGCTCCTACACGGTGTATGAGGCTTGAAACAATAAAAGGGACTGAATTGATAGTCCAAGGTTGTCCGAAAAAGATTGACAACAAAACCATCCATCTTCCAAAAATTGGTTTTCAAACCTAAACATTCGCAGTTTCCACTAAATGTCCGGACCGTTTACACACGTCCCTACAAGGTCCCAAAAACTACTCAGCACTTCATTCACGCAACATACCTCCCCTCCTCCACCAGTGGTGTCTCCAGCCACGGAGAATCTCACTTTGGCCATGCCACCATCGCAATGCAGTTGAGCTGTTGTCACTTGGTTCGTCCCAAAATAGAGTTGGCTTTAAGGGTTCAAGTAGTCTAGTTTGATTCGAGTCGAATTTTTTGGAAATCATGCCCTCAGCTTGCCACCACCGCCGCCAGATTCGCCGGTACCACCCTGGCTTGAGCCACCAAAGCAGATTGGCGCACCAAATATGAAGCCATTATTTATACAGCTGTCAGCCCAAAAGAAATCGTGGAGACAAGAAGCAAAACTCGTCAACGCTTCGTCTCACGTTTCACATGACACAAAGCAGCTGATGGCACTCTCATCTTTTGACCACGGGGTTTCTGCGTTTTGCGACTGGCCTTGGGTAGGCCAGAAGGGCACAAAAGAATGACTGGGATGTCATTTAGTCGCTATCAGCTCAAAAAGAATGCATGGTGCCAAGAGGTCACCATGGTTGGCTTCGAAAATGATGCGCTTTAATGCGAGCAGTCTGAACTTGCACATACACTGAGACAGGTGGTTTTCGTCTCGAAGCAACTGCAAAGACCAAGACGGAGGCAAACAGCATTGCGTCAAAGTCGTCAATGGTAAAACTGAAATTGTGTGGAAGCAAACGTAGGCTGTGCAAAATTGGCAGCTGGTGAAAAAGCTGCTGCAATCTATGGATGGATTGCGTGAATTTAGGGGGGGTAGAGAGGTGGGACGATTTTACGCGAACGGATGGTCCCTTGACAACTTGGTCCCAAAAT